CCAGTATTTGGTGTCACTATTTTTTCTTTGGCCATTCTGATAGGAATTTTGTGATACCTCATTGCAATTTTAATTTCCACTTCTCCAGTGGTGAAGGATGTTGAATATCTTCCACGTGCTCCTTTGCCACCTAAATATTATCTTTGGTGAAATGCCTCTTTGTCTTTTGCCCATGGATTGCTTGCTTTTTCATTGTTGAGCTTTGATTTATGTATATATTCTAGATACTAGTGCTGATCCATGTTGGTGTGGTTTGCCATTATTTTCTCCCACTTTGTGTCTTAGCTTTTCATCCTCTAACAGATTCTTTCACGGAGCAATAGATTTAAGTTTCAACAAAGTCTAATTTATCATGCTTTTGCAAATCATGTTTTTGGTGTCAAATCTAACAACTTCTTGCCTAGTCTTAGATCTGTATTTTTTTTCCCCTAAAAGTTTTACAGTCCTGTATTTGTCCACAATCCATTTTGAGTTCATTGTTGTTAAGGTGTGAGGCATCAGTGAGGTCTTTTCTTTTTTTAATATATAATGCCCAATTTTCCAGAATTATTTGTTGAAAAGGCTGTATTTCCTCCATTCAGTTGCTCTTGCACTTTATCAAAAATCAGTTGGGCGTATGTGTGTGGGTCTTTTTACGAGATCTGTGTTCTGTTGATCTGTGTGTCTGTCCATCTCAAGATCCTTTTATCAAGTTTTGCCCTAGCTGGTGTCACTCAGTGGACTGAATGCCTGCCTGCGAATCAGTCGCCTGTTCAATTCCCAGTGTAGGGCACATGTCTGGGTTGCAGGCCAGGTCCCCAGTAGAAGGCATGTGAGATGTAATCACACATTGATGTTTCTCTCCCTTTCTCCCTCCCTTCCCTTCTCTAAAAAATAAGAATCTTAAAAAAAAAAAAAAAAAACCAAACTTTTGATTACTGCAGCTATAAAATGCCTTGAAATTGGATAGACTTTTTTCCACTTTTGTCTTTTTTCAAAATTGGCTTTATTCTAGTCCTTTTGCCTTTCCACATAAATTTTAGGGTAATCTTGTATGTACAAAAAAAGGTTTGTGATTTTGACACACACACACACACACACACACACACACTACATAGGATTTTCCAGCACATTAAGTCTCTCTCCAATTATTTAGGTCTTCTTTATTAGCACTTTGTAGTTTTCAGCATACAAGTTCTGGACATGGATTGTTAGATTTACACCCAAGTATGTCATCTTTTCTGTCAATGCTTATAATTGGCTTTGTACTTTATTCAGTCTCCAAGTGTTCCATGCCAGTATATAGAAATGCAATTGATTTTTGTATGTTTATGGTTTGTGGAAAGCCACAGCTAGAAATACATATAGGGGGGCCTAATTGTTCACATTTGGAAAAATCCCAAGTCCAACTGGGCAAGTGAAGTCACGAGTAGGTTCACAGGTATACACTCAGCAAATTATCCTGAAACAATCAACCTGCATATTAGGTCTAACAGTGTGGCTCATGGCTGCATGTGATAATATAAACTATGCTGCCGTGCTCTTGTGGCAGATAAATGGGTGCTCTTTAGGGGCGGAAGGAGTACCTTGCCACTCAGGTTGCTATCATCATCCCTACCTTGAGTGCTTCCCATGAGGAGCTCAGGAGCTACCCCAAATCAATATGCTCTTGACTGCAAGCATTTCTATGAGATTTTCATGTCTTTTGATGCCTGATAAAACTTATCAATTGAAGGGGGGAAACCCCAGAAACATACTTGCTTCCAGGCTGCTTTCAATCAGAACTTGCACAAACGCAGGACTAAACCTGTAATTCATCTTTCTCTTCCTCGCCTTGGCATCTTAGATGGCTCTATTCCTTTGTGAGCACTCCCATTTTATTCTCTTTGGATTTGAATTTAGATTCTCCCCTTTTCCCCCAGAGATGTTAACAAAATTAAAAAATCCTACTCCTTTGGGTTAAAGAACAGTTGGTTAGACTATATTACATTTTAATATGTAACTTTCATCTTATATTACAGGTATGACATGCGAGGGTTATCATGACTAATCCTATCAGTACTCAAAAAGAATATTTTTGTTGTTACCTGTTTGGTTTTTATTTAAATTCTTACCTCACTCAACATGGTAATTGCCAAGTGCAAGAAAGCTTCCTTCTTACCATTCCTTAATTTTCTGTTAATATTGACTTGCCAAAAAAAAAAAAAAAATACTGGCATATTACCTGTTACCACACACACACACACACACAAAATACTCCATTAAACTTGGTACAAATTCTACAGCTATCCATTTCTAACTCCAAGACTGCAAGCATCTATAACCTCTACATGTAATCTACGTAATTCTAACACTTGTAATAAAAAATACAGGATGTTCATGAAGTCTTGCCATAGATACTCCCTTTTTTAAAAAATAGGTTGGTAATGTTTTTATTTAAATGAGATCTTTGGGATAAATGACAGTTTAACATCAGTGCTTCAAGAACGTGAGACTTAAAAAAGGCTACTTTTCTCATCCTTAGTATCAGAATTAGGAAGTTGGTCTTTCCATTAACTCCATCATTCAAAATCTTCAAACGAATACACTAAGGGCTTTATTTCAATCAGAATCATGACCCTCACTATCACTGAACATAAAGTGTATTCTTGCATACCTCAGTAATACTAATTTTGTAAGAGAATCAGATATTGACAATTTAAGAAAATTTTCATGACATTTGCAAATTCTCACACACTGGAGTTAAATATTAGCTAAAACATGACCATTACATGGATAACTCAGGAAAATGTTTGCGTTTTTTTCTTCCCAATAAAATTATCAAGAATTGAATTTTCTATTTATGACACAGAAGGAAAATATATGGAACCCACTATCTTCCTATTTCTATATTCTTCTTTCATAGATATTTCATGCTTTATGAGTTTCAGTAACAAATGTTCATTAACTTCATGGGGAAAATCTATTTTGCTGAAGAAAAGCAGTTTGGAGAGTTGAGATAAAGAGGGAGTTTGTTGTTGCTAAAAATTACTTGGCACCTCTTTGTGTATTCTTAAGAGCAGATATGGTGTTAAGAAATGTAATTCCCATCCTGATTCTGCCATTTTTACTTCATAAAGATTATCTACATCACATTTCAATACAGCCAAGTTATTACAACAGTTCTTGAAAATTTATGAAATGCCATAAAAATCTGTATTCCCAGGAAAAAAGTTTGGCTATAGTGAACAAAACCTTGGCAACTATGTTGTGGAAAAATAATAGTGTCGCTATTGCACCAGTACTACATTATGAATAACTTGGTTCCCATTATGATTATAAATCCAGTAAGTCCCAACTCATGTATGTGCAAAGAAAATTGAATTTGCGGTTTTCCAAAGCTATGTTATCAAAGTATCTAGGTGTTTATACTTACCTGCTTTGTAAAAGATTAAATTCAAAGCATCACATCTTAAAAACAAGTGTACTTTGACCCAGTAGTTCTGAGAATATATCTCGAAAGGATAATCAAAGATATTCAGGGAGACAGCACCATTTATATTAAAATAAAAAAATGGAAAGGCCCTAAGTCCCCCAAATGAGAATTGATTCAATTGATTCACCTACAAATGGAGGGGCTTTGAAAATGGTATAAATCTGTTACTATAAATGAAAAAGACTACAGAATAGTATACATTATATAACCTTAGTTTAACACATTGTGTACCGCTCATGGGTTTTCTTGTTTCGCGCGCCATCTGTTATGGACTTTAGATGTCAACACACTGTCTTGTCCACATCGAATGAAGCGATCTCATTGGTGGAAACCGTGCAGGTAAATCTACAAAAAACTATGTAATTGGACAAACCCATAAAGCATTGCAGTTACATTGTACTTTGGTCATTCGACCCTGGTGTATGTCTTAGAGATTTCTATGCGGTACGCAATGTATTAAAATGTCTAGTGATCATTTATAGACAGGCTACCATCCCTTTTTATTCTGAATTTCTACCTTTTCTACAGTAACATTTATGTGATTTTTAAAACGACCAAATTTATATACTTTATACAAAAAATATTTTTTAGGTTAAATGAAAGCTCACAACGTAATCTGCCAATTGTCCACAGGGATTGGCAGTATATGTAAGACACTTAATTCCTTTAAATAACTTTAGTGTGTCATTATTAACCAAGGTCCTCTCTATTTCGAGCTAGAGTCCTCTACTATTTCACATCCAGATCTAACTAGATTTTTATCAAGATTTATGCACTTGGAGATCATGTTTTTATTTTCTCATAGAAGCAGTATCACTAGTGGAAACCAATCTTACTTACCCAAGATTATAGATGATAAAAGGTATTTCTGCAATAAAAAATTTTTTTACCATTTGATAAAAAAAGTATGAAATGAATATGCTACATGCTGGGAAAGCAGATTAAGTCAGGAGAAATGTCCAAATGAAAACTGAAAACTAAGGAGGGAAGTTCTAAAACCTTTCAGTTGTTTCGGAGATTGACAGTGTAAGCACTTTATGCCAAACTTCACTTCAGAATCTATGGCAATCCTCCTTCGACGAAACAATACTTTTATTCTTATCACTCATGATAAGAAGAAACGTTTTGGTCCCCAAACAGAAGAGAAAGCTTCTGGCAGTAAAGAGGCAGGAGTCAGGGAGAATAAGGGTACAGAGGATTTGTGTATGTGTGAGAGAAGGAATCATAAGGCCAGTAACACATTGGAACCAAAGGTGACTTAGAACAATTTAAAGTGAGAATGCAGGGCAAAGAGGGGACAAGGCAATGTGAAGCCATTTCTTAACATAAACATTTTCAGAATTCTCAACTGTAATGCCTGAGGGCTACACATTTTTCTTTCTATTGATACAAGATACAGAACAATTCTTAAAAAGTTAACAACTTCTTTTAAGTAAGACTATTTTATTTAAAATTTTTTCAAAATATAAAAATAATAAACATTATGGATATTTAACAAACAAAACATAATTCAACTGTAAATAAAAATGTTGACAACCTCACATAAACATGTAAAACTATAAACATTCTAAGCATTCTAAGCATAAAAGAGTAGTTTTCTAGTTCAAGTTTTACCCTTTTCAGTTCAAGTTTTAGTAAGTACTTTTAAAAATAAACAAACAAAAAAAGCTGCTACAGCTTAACCAATTACTTTTGCTCCACTCAAAGAGCAGGGAATTTTTCCCCATGCCAACACACATTCGTGAAATGGATACGTATGGGCACAGGTATTAAACTCCAACAGTCCAGTCTCCAGACAAGAAAAGATTCCTTTGGTGTTTTAAGGTTGAACAATCCACAGAAATTGAGTTAAATTAAACCACTTATTAAAGGAACTCTTGTGCCAGACAACATGTTCTTTCACACCCAAAACAGTTTCAGGATTCTGAGAATCAAGAATAAACATCTATGAATGCTTTGTTGATACTTAAAAATTGTATCTCAAGAACATTCACTAAGGTGCTGGAATGAAGTCTTGTAGATGTAGAAAACAATCTACATATTAAAACAAAACTTGTACAATGTTAATAATACAGCTCTTTCAACGCATCAAATGTTCTATAAATATTTAAGAATTACCCTGCCTCGCGCTGAGTAAAAGACAAATGGGAATTTAAAGCAGAGCAGGACTATACCGTATTTTAGGACTAGAAAAAGTTTTCCACTTGAAATACAGGAAAACTGAGCCAAGCTGAATGTATCATTTTTTAAAATTCTAGCCAGGTTAACACCATTCCTCTTATTTAAAAGAGCCAATGACAAACTGAAGAAACTATTCTCTTTTTGGGAAGCTGGGCACAAATAAATACGCCGCCATTCTGCTTATCTTTAAATTGTGGGGTGTTTCTATTGGGCTGGGCTCTTCACTAACCACCAACCACTTTTATTATTTTGCTCTTAGAATAAAGTAAGTCACAAGCAATCAGAGATTAAAGCCTAGCAAAGTCTAAATAACATGTTCAAAAATGATACTGAAAGATTTTATAGCACCAATGACTTTTTCCTAAGACACTTTGGGACTGCATCATTTTAAAGTATTATTTATCTTGTAAACAAGACCAAAATATTCCATTGATCTGTATTTGAGCATAAATATTTATAAACTCTATTAAAAAAAAATATAGCATGACTAGGGCAGCTAGTAGTGTAAAATCCAAGTATATTGAAAAATATAAAGATATATATATATATTAAAAAAAGGCTTCCATAATGTAATCATGCAAAGGTAAACTGCTTCATTCAATTACACAAAAGTGATTTTGCACAGGTAATTACACATAGCTCCATGAGATTTCTACTCAGGAAAATGAAATAATAAAAATCCTTAATTCATCAATATATGGGAATTTTAACTATGAAACTGAACTACTGGATCTCACAGCAATTTCTAAAAAGCGCAATGATCTTGAGAATCAAATCACTTCAACTCTGATTCCAAGTGGTATGTTCAATTTTGTTTTGGTTTATTTTGTTTTTAATTTAAAGGCAAGGAGAAACCAGGATGATGATAAAAAAAAAAAAAAAATGAGGGTGGTAGTATGTGGTCCACATCCAATAACCAGCTAAAACTGTTAACAGCAAATATGGCCCCTACAGACAATGTTCTTTGGGTTTCTAATGCAGCACGTAAACCACTACTGGACAGGCAGAGAATCTTTCCTTGAAAAAATACTGAATTAATCTGGGAAAATATTTACAAACTCCCTACAACTATATGCTAGTTTGCAAATATAAATTAAAACTAAAGTCTATTTTTAAAAAGCCTTGTACACTAGGTCATAATTATGTTAGAAGACCTTCCAAAGTATGTATTTTTCCTTCATACCAAGCCTACTATTAACTATGCTGTCTCCCAACTACAGTGGATCAAAATAGATCATTTACATTATGTCTGATGTGTTCATTCTTTTTATTTTTCATGAAGACAAATGCAATGCATACTCAAGAAAGAAGTGTTTACAGAATAGTCAACTTTCCACACACACAAAAAGGAAAATATAGCAAGAACAAGGGTGAATATAACCAAGTGCCATTTGGACTTTTCTAATAAAGTTTGTACCAAGTGTAATGTCTAACTTTCTCAAATGCCTCACAAGAATTCAAAATACTCGAAAATTGATTTTCTGAAAACTGGGTTTTAAATTAATGCCCATTATAAAAAAGATACTTTGGACAAATACCTAGGATTAAATTCATTCACACTTTATAAATAATTTTAAGCCATACTGCTTATTAATAAATATGGGCACACACCTTTTAAGACCGGAAAATTATAGTAGTCTTTAACAATGTTAGACACACAACACTACCTCCCCTTGCTTTTATGATTGTCTGATATCTTGAGTGTGAGGAAAATATGGAAAAATTGTGTAAATTAGATATTTAATAGATATTTTTTCAATGCTTATACTCCACAAGTCATCCTGCAATACTTGAAAAGAAAGAAAAATATTCTCATTGTTGGTTTTGGACAGCTAAGAGTTTTTTTAAAAAAATTATTCAGGTAAGTGGTCTTGGGAACAACTTCACTAAGCATATTTATAAGAAATTCGCAAGAGTGAGTAAAAAAGTATTTTATCATCTCTTCAAAATTATTTTGACTATTCTAACCCCAGGAATGCCCCCTTTTAAACCTCCCCCCGCCAAATGAAAACTGTACCCATACTTAACTTTTTAATCATTTTCTTCATTCTAAATTGTTCATGTTAAAACAGCATCATGGCTTTACAGGTTTCCTAGATACAATTCTCAACTTTGCGAAGACTGAACTTATGTCCTATTAGGAAACCAAGAGATGTTTTACCTTCTTATGGTGTATAAAAAAAATAATGGTCATAAAGTAAGGGTAAAAATATTTAGGATAAAGTAAAACAAAGCACACACTCAGATATACTTCTGGACTCAGATGTACCCTTAGAGAACTGTAAAGATAAAATGCTAATTATAATGCATGTAAACATCTATTCAAATTGATAAAGGGCAAACAAAATGATAGTGATAACAGTCGTCTCCAGACAGGAACAGGTCTTGCTGTTGTAGTCACAAAGCTAAATTCAGGCAATGATGATCTCTCTCTGCTGGAAAAAGAGAAGACTATTAAAAAAACTGAAAATAGTAAGTAAATCTAAAAATTGAATCACACCATAAATTAATCTCCAATTTTTCTAAACATCAAAAAAAAGTCTACCTGAGAAAGGATCAAAGTAAAAGTGGTAGAAAGCTTTCATAAAAGATCCATTTTGGCTTAAAATGATTTTAACAAAACCTCTCTGTATCATGCTTCCTTAAAACATTAAGCTGCCAAAATCAGCTCTACAACATGAGTATCATCTAAAAATCTTTGGTTAAGAAATGTAGTAACAGATCAAAGAGCAAATTTTTAGAGGTGTGGGTAGGCAAAGTTATTTGAAAAAATCATGACCAAATGCAAAGATTTTATATATAAAAATGAAAGGGAAAAGAATTATCTTTAGTTTCCCAAAGATTTCAAAGTAATTGCAAGGTGTATCTAATTTCTTTAAACGCCACATGATAATCATTTTGTTCTCTAGTCACAGTATATATGTCATAAAATTCTATTCTAAGCACAATGATTAACAACAAAAATAAAAAGGAACACATCAAAATGAGACAGTGCTTGCTACACAAAGGAAGACTAATTTTGGGTGATGGGGAGGTGAGTGGATAGATGAAGTAACAAGGAAGGAGGGATTAGGGAGGAGTGAGTATAATAAATTGATACCAGAAAAGTAAAATAAAAAAACTATTTTCAATTATACTAAGTAATGAGTAACATCATACTTATAAACTGCAAGAAAATTATTTACCAAATTAGAAATTTTTCAACTAAGCAATGTTTTCATTAGAAATTACTGAGCATGGCAGGCATGTTCTCCAAGATTATTTCTTAGGACTTTTAGGAAGCTATTTTGGAAGATTACCTGCTGTCATCTAATAGGCATATAATAATCAGAAAGAGAAAAAAACCTACTCTTCTCTAAAAGCCTGCATACATACCCTAGAGGAACTAGCCAGTTCAAGAAGTTAACAAGAACAGGGTAGTTCCTAAGGTCTAGGAAAAGGAAATTTTCTTTTTGCCTTACAAATATTATACTCATAATTTAATACTAAATTAAATTTCCGCTTTTAATTTATAGGGTCTTAGAAGAATAAGAAAAACCCTGAGAAAGACCAAAAAGTGAACTAATTTAACCAGAATTTCATGCAGGATATTTTTGTTTTAAAAGGCTAGAAGACTTTTGTAAGAGAAAAAACAATAGCTTACAAATACTTATATAAATCCTAAAAGAAGTAAAAATTATTTTCTGTAATTAGTTCACATTATGGGTAAGGGGGAAAAAAGAAAAGAGATGATAAAGTTTGTATAATACTGTAAAATAGCCATTGATATTTTGACATACCAAACATGCAGCTGTTTGCTTTCTTTTTGTAACCCTTAGAGCCAATGATTAGTGTTCAAAATAAGACTGGAAATACCATCCTCACAAAACAGTCCTAATAACAGGAAATTTCCTTCAATTAAGCTCAGCCATATTTCTATAGATAAACAGCTAAAAAGTGAAGACTTATCTTCATAGTAAACTACCAGTTGATACATTTGTTCATATTACAATAAAACAAGCACTATGGAATACTCTCCCATTCCTACATGATTTCAATAACCACTTGGGCACTGGTTAAATATTATGTTACCTCATCCAATAACATTTAAAACACTGCTTAGGTAGAGACATAAAATATGTAAATTGACACCTCAACCATCCCTTGAAATAATCCTATTCAATCTTTTAACCAATTAACACATAATTTCCCCTCAATTTTTTCCAGTAAGTAGCCATCTACATTATTCTCAATCCTTTTTTCACTCCCAACTCAGCCTAGATCTGTACTAAAGCAAAAAGCTTGTTATGAGAATTGTAATTAAAAATGTGTTTCAAGTTTTAGGTAGCATATTTTAATAGCAAAGAGTCTTAAACTTTGAGTTCAGAAGTGAATGGAAAAGTAAGTAGAAAGGAGAAGTGCTAGTGAATACAGAGATTAATCTGTACTTCATAGGCTGAATGGAATTTGTACCAGCAAAGCCAAGCTTTGAAAACACCACATACAAAATTGTAGTAAGACATGTAATATGAATTATGATAACCAAATCAAAATTGTTTCTATTGGTAAGATAGAAACAATAGCAGCAACATGTATGGGGAGTTGGTATAGATATATTTAATTGTTTTAGATTAAACACTAGTATACATCAGGAAAGCTATAGGTGTGAAAGGGACCTTAGAGATCATCTAGTCCAACCACTTTCATTTTACAGACAAGGAAACAGCCCTGGATAAGTTAAGAGACTTTTCTAAGGTCACAGAGTGAGTTAGAGCTGGGACCAAAAGCTAAATCTCTTAACCCTTGTCCAGTACTCTACACTAGGTCTTCTTTGGATATAAAAAAAATTAGTAGGATGGACTAGATTGGTGGCTTTTGCCAATTCTGAAACCAAAAGGCTATTTTACTCCTGAAACTGACTACAACATTTAATTTCCTAAAATATTAATCGTTCACTAATTGTTATGGATGTTCCACTAAAACTACACATGTATTCCTCCATCAGCATTTGTAACCCCAGTGGTGCAATACTTAACAGCAGCAACTGTTTAGCAAAATGGTCCCAATAACTGAGAAGACCTTCAAGAGATACTTTTGAAAAATTGGTAAGAATTAACAAGGGAGGTAACTATCACTCCACTATTGGAGGTTCAAATGTGCATTCATTCATTAATTCATCCAACAAACATCGATCTTAGTGCCCACTAAGAGTCAGGCTTTGTGATAATCACTAGAGATAAAAAGATGAATAAGACATGGTCCCCTTCCTAGAGGAGCTTGTAATCTAGTGGGGAAGACAGACATATAAACCAGATAAATTATATTACAACATAAGTACTTGTAACAGAGATATGAACAAAGTGCTGTATTAAAAGGGAGGGTAAAGGTATGAACTGGCTAATGATCAAGAAGTCTACTAATACTGTGCAAGAACTACCACATTTATTGCTCACACAATCTCATGTTCTATCAATAATTAAAAAGGAGGTAGCAATGTAGAGTTTTTAAAAAAACTTCATAGCTGGCGCTGGAACCAGAATGCGTGCATTCAAACCTAGTCCTTCCATGACTAGTTGTTACTTTGGGCAAGTCACTCCATCTCTATTGGCCCAAGTTTCCTTATCTGTAAAATGGAAATTAACAACTACTTTAAAGGGATATCTTAAGTTTTAAATGAGAACAGATGAAAGTACCTGTAGAATACTAGTATCTATAAACATTAATTTAAAAAGTTCAATAGCAATGAAAATCTAAGTAATATTTGTAATTAAAATCATATTAACGCTAATGAAAATATAATTGTGAGCCTAATGAATGTCACTAATATTTAATCCCCATACCTCAGGACCAAATTGAAATATACTTGTCTTTGGATTCATTCACAGCAGAATAGCTTAAAACATTTCAATTTTAGGTTACTAGGGAATGTGAAACTAGGAAAATTACCTATTTGCAAATTAAATTAATTATAGGTAATTTCAGTTACACTACAAGGTGATTTACAGTAATTTTTAAAATATCAGGCAAAAATTTACTAATCAAATTATGAAGCCAAAAATCAGCATGGAGATTTAACTGGCCTTTGAAAGATTTTCTTTCTTTATAATACCTGTTTGGTGTAAAGAGAAGAAACGTGAGCCTCTGCCAATTTGGCACTTTTCACGACTACTAAAAAGAAAAGAAAACAAACTTACCTAACAAATCAGAATAGCACACAGTCAACATACAAGAGACTACATAAAAATATATCATAGATCTAAGTAAAGAAGCTTTCAAGTAAAGTCACTGTTTTGACAAAAGAAATTTGATTTGAAATTTTAAATACAAACATAATGTACCAATTACAGGTCAAAACATTCCTATGAAATAGTATTACTATCAAGAACATATATATAACTTTAACCCTAAGTGAGGGAAAAATCCACTTAGTCACTCCACTGCAGGAGACTATTGGTGGTGGAATCACAGTTTGTGATTATGAGGACCATAGTATGAAAAGGAAGTGTTGTTTTTAATGTGACTTTTAATATAATCACTATAACCTCAGAAGGAGCATTAACACTTGTAACCGAAATGAATTTAAAAATATATATCATCTCCCACCCCCTCATTCTACAAAGAATGCATTTATTTCCTGAATCAACTTTTAAGTGATCATGTTCACTTGGCAGAGATATCCACATAAAAAATCACAATATTGTTGCAAATGTCAAAGATTTTTATACAGTATAGGAAATGCACACTTAAAATATCAGACTGAAACACTTACCAAACAGTGTTTTCCTAAAGCAGTATCTATAGTACATTTCTTTATTCATACATCTTCAAATGGTCAAGTTTTCTTTCATACATCCAAAATGTAATGTGATGGTTTTCTTATTCACCAAATGTTAGCTCTACTTGAAGTCTGGTTCCAAACTAATCAGCCTGCTTTTAAATTTTAAAACATCTGTTGAAAATTTATAGGATCAAACTGAAGTGGTATAAATTTTAAACATTGGATTGTACATTATTGTAAAGGTACCAGTAACCATGGTTATTAAGAGTAAGTGATTATAGCTCCTTTTGTGATAATTGGGGGGAAGGGTATATTACCATCAGGAATGGTCTATTTTTAACTTTTTTTCTTATCTTTCTTTTCTTTTCTTTTTTTTTTGAATCAAGGAACATTGTATTGTTTTTTTTTTTTGTCATTGTTTTCTTTTCTTTTCTTTTCTTTTTAAGAGACCATTCCACTTTATTTTAAACATCTGAATGCATAAGAAGGGAGTCATATGCAAAGCAGTCATACACCATTATCAATGAAACCCATATGGTAAAATACATACACAAGTCCAACAAAAGGCTAATACATAGTAAAGCCTAAGCATACTACTATGTAATAATATGAATACATACTTGGAGATTTTAGTTAGAGTACTATGTTATCTATTCATTTTTGAAAACATTCATTAAGATTTTAAATGCAAATTCATTCCTTATTTGGAGTAAAACAAAATCCTCTAAGTTATAACAAGTATTGGTCATAAGTTTTCAGACCTACTCATTAAATTACAAAGAACCCGAAGAATTCCATAATGTTCAGTAGAAGTATGTAAAAAAACATTGCATGTTTCTAGTATGTCTTTAGCAATTGTTTACTGAAATAAAATGCAAACATCAATCTTTCAAAATACAGGATCAGAAGGTAGTTTTCTTCTCTTTTGTCTATTTGTGAAATCCATCTCCATCACATTTACCAAAAATTGTTTTTACAAATATGTAAAAGTACATTAGATAATACTAATGAAACACAGGTAGAGTTCTAGCATATGCAGATCAACGATCAGTCAAATCATCTTCTCCAAGAACGAGATTCATTGTCCTCTTCTTCTTCATCATCATCTTGAAGTAATGAGTCATCCACCAGAGACTCTTCCTGAAACTTTAGGTTAAAATGCATTTAGGAATTTACCCAAAAAAAAAAAGAAAAAAGAAAAAAAAAAGGTGACACTTTTAAATACACATTTCTCCCAACAGAGTCGAATATAAAAGGTATTTCTACAGCTAGAACATTCAAGAAACAAAGAAAAGCAACCTTTATCAACTCAATGGTTCCTCTATAATACCTATTTTTGGTTGCATCATACAGGCACTGAAGAATTATCAAAGAAAGCCTTTGTACATGCTGTTTCTCCTGCCTCTCTTTACCGAATAATGATGCTATCTTCCATACCTGCAAAACATTGTTTACTTTCTTTCTTCTTTTTTTTTTTTAAAGAAAACATCAATAACTCTTCTCTGACTTACCCTGTCTAACGCTGGACACTAAATCAACCAACAAGTTATATAAGTCTATCCACATTTTCTACTGTATGTGAACAAACATTTTCTTATAGCATTCCTTTCTTTTCTCCATTCCTTTCATAAGACCTTTTGAGACTGCTTTTCACACTTTTCAAAATACCTAATACCAGGAGCTCTCCTGCTTTTCTCCCCATTCAATTCAAACTCATGGAAGGACAAAGGTATAATCTAAAATATAAAATGACAAATCATGTATATGAGTTTCAAAACACACAATTGATTCTTGCATTTGACTATGGATATGTGTAACAGCCTTGAATGCTCTTCAAACAAAGTGAAGTGACACTCTGAAAATCTAAAAGTAAAACATGGATTCATTTAGTGTCCCTACGTTACCTTTTTTTTTTTAACTTCCTCAACTTTTTCCTACAGCTTATTATGATTAAACAAAACAGAGTTGCTTATTTTTAATATTGGGTTGTTCAAAGGGCTCCCTGTTCTTTACGCTCACAAGTCTAAGTCATCAGACTAACTGCTGTTACCCAAGAAAAATGTAATCTTCCACACCAACCCTCTGCTCAAATATGCCTCAACTATATTCCCCATCCCAGCCCTTGGTTATGGAAAGCTTTATTTTCACTTAGGGTTCAGCTTTACTGTCACCAACTCCTTCAAGATTCTTCTAGACAGAAATAATCACTCTTTCCTTTAGATTCCAACAGCATATTGTTCCAATCTCTATTCAGCATATCAGCCTGCCTTTTATTATAATTAGTTTCTTATGTGTCTGTTACCACCACCCTCCTTTCCAAATTATAAGCTCCTTGATGATAGGGACCGTGTCTTATTCATTTTTCTGCCTATCACAGTATCTACAATATAGCAGGTATTCATTCTAATAAACTAAAACAAGATGAATTAAAATAAAAGATAACTGAAAGATTAATAAAGCAACTAATAGTACATACTCTAAAACCTGAAATATTTTAAGTTCCTGTTGGATAAAAATCTAATGAATAATTATTTTCTTCTAAGAGTAAATGAAAACTGAGTATAGGTGATTTTAACATATTCTTTTTGGATTAGCAATCCACAGATTTCATTAATCCAGAAAACTTAAAGTTGTCTGCATTTATCTGATACCCATGCCTGAAATATGGCTCAGAAATAGAAGTTTTATGTTAAAATTACAGCCATAAAATCGCATTTTATATAAAAATGTGATCATTTAAGGATAAAACCAAATGGAAAAAAAAAAAACATACTTCCTCTTCATCAGGTTCAACTTCTTCTGTTTCAACAGCTGAAATGTTAGTTATTGGTTTATTCCATGCCAGTTTTAGATCCTGCCCTTTGAAACGAGCTCCATGAACTGCAGCCTAAAATAATTAAGACATGGGAATATAAAACATTAATAATGTTTGAAGAAAAACATAATGTTATAGAACTCAGTATTTAAATTAAATTAGCTAAACACAATGAAGACAGCCGTCTATTAATTTGCTTTATGGTATTTACTTTTCTATTTACCAGACATCATAATGTACTTTATATGGTTATTTCTAACATCAGCCTAGAGATTGCCTTTAAAAAGAAAACAAGAACAATTTCTCATAATTGATTAGAGCGAATTCACTACTGGCCACAATTTGACTAGAAGAACTATGTCTACATGTTTATAATACAATGGTAATTGCCATTCAAGACAACAGTCTCAAAGTACTTCAAGATCCTGACTCAAAGTCTAAATTGGAATCAAAAGACCGTTATTCTCTGTATTTTAATTCTTGTTAACTTACAAACAGCATATATAGTAACTATAAATAGAAACCGTTAACAGAATTACAATTTTGCATGTATGAAGTATATTATTTTTAAATTACATCACAAGATCACAAAGTGTTTGATATATCACTGTTATGAAATATAAATATCTCAAATCCTGAACTTTTTTCTTACAAACTGAAGTATCTTCTACAAAGCTTTCAGAATTGCATATAAAACAAACTTACTAAGTACTTGCTACATTAAGTGGCTGCTTTGTAAGTTGTGCATTCAAATTAAATAACATGCTAACATAAATCAAAATAAGCAACATACCAAAATAATTCAGTCACAAAAGATTTAAAGCACAATCTCAAAATACAGCATAACGTGAACTGTAGAAACAATTACATGTTCAATGACATCTGACCATGAGTTGTGTGATATTAAAGTCCCCAGGTATAAATTTTAAATCTGTACATATAAATTTATGATAAATTTAAGAGTCCATGCCTATTAAAATGCAGCCCAGTAGTCTTTAGTCCATAGCCTCCTCATAATGTCATATAAGTAATTTAACATACTTAATATATAAGATTTAAGTTCAGAAACAACTTGTAATTTTTGAAGCTGTAACTATTACATAAAAATATATTACTATAAGGAATTCCAATGGTCTCATGCAAAATGTCTGCTCATAGAAATCATCATCCAACATAAAAAGGCAAAAAATGTTGGTGACACTTTTTATAAGTTCTTTACAAAAATTTCTAACGACCTAATATTGTAAATTTCTATATTCAGCATATGCTTCTTCAAATTTATAAGGTAAGTCTACAATTCTCTAAAGTTTTAATTTTAAAATTATTTACCAGATGGTTTTCAAAGCTAGGTGTATTTAACTTTTTATTAACTGTTCCATTAGAAACTTGACTATTTGGCTGTGTAAATTTTTAAAATAACTGCATTCTTGCCTTTTGAAGGTATAAACTTATTTCAGGTACTCTGCAACATAAAATCTTTTTTTAAATTTATTTTTACTGTATTTTTTTCCATTACCATCTATCCCTCTTATATCCCCTCCGCAATATTAAATCTATAAAGTTTTAAAAATTATTCCACAACTCGTCCATTTTATTTCTAAAAAATTTCAGGTCACATAATGAAAGAAAATTGTAATCTATACTTACTCCATCCCTAAATGTAACCACCATTCAATGAAGAGTTTGAAAAAAGTCCTACACAGATACTAAAAGGGTCTGCATACTAACATATGAGAGATACATATGTGGGAATATACTTTACTAGTTTTACAACTTCCTTTGTATATTATTAACCCATGTTTTTCATAGATCCTTTCCATATCCATACTAACAGATATATCACTTTTCTTTAATGGCTATACATACACACCTACATACAAACACATATTTATCATATGTAAACCAACTTCTTGAATAGAGTTCTGTCATAGTTATTTGACAAAATTTTTTTTTCCCTCAACTGGACATTTTATTCATATACATGTTTTTCTTCAAGAAGGAAGGGTTGTTGCTGTTTTTGCCACAAGGAAGTTTTAAATTTTCATAGACTGAAATTTATCAACGTTTCTTTCTTATGGCTTCAAAATACTCTGCCAAGCCTTAAAAAGCTCTCTCCACACTAAGATTATTTTCTGAAATACTATGAATTTTTACTAGTCTTAGGTATTAAAACAAAACAAAATTTTATCCAACTTGAATTTAGTTTGATATAGAAAATAAAGACATTTGTCTTTTTTTTCCAAAGTTATCCCAACATTATTTACTGAATAATCTGTTTTATTACCTGATTTAGACAAAATATCTCCTTTGTAATTTGCTAAAATTCTTGTATTTACTTAGGTCTATTACTGGACTCTATTTTGTTCTATCATCACTCTATTCCATGTCATTACTATATTAATTATTTCATAATAAATTCAGTATCATTCCTCACCCTTTTCAGAATATTCTTGGTTATTCTGATGCTATTTTGTATTTATGGCCTTTGGAAATCTTTTTATTTAATTTTTTTTAAAAAAGATTATTTATTTATTCTTTGAGAGGGGGAAAGGAAGAAGAAAGAGAGGGAGAGAAACAGCAATATGGGAGACACTGACTGGCTGCCTCTCACACACCCCCAACCAGGCACCTGGTCTGCAACCCAGGCTCGAGCCCTGACTAGGAATTGAACCAGTGACCTTTTGTTTTGTGGGTCAAGGCTCAACCCACTGAGCCACACCAGTCCCAGCAACCTTTGGAATCTTTTGGCCAAGTCTATTATCATACTATCTTAATTACTGTGACTTATAAACTAGGTCAATGCTTTTCATAACATATAGTATGGCAGTTGCTGCAAAGTTCTACAAACATTTCATTAAAATGTACTTTAAAAAATAAACTCTATAATTATACAATTTTAATCGAGAATCACATTTAAATATATTCTATAGGATATCTACCTGAGCAAAGGTGGTAGTGATTATAAAGGTAAGTAGGGGCTAAATGTAAAAATATAATACTAAATGCGAAGTGTTAAAAAATAAAATTTTAAAAAATGCACAAAATAAGAAAGAAAAGTGAAGGAAATAACCTCAGATGAAGATAAAACTAAACAGATGAAAAAAGACAGAAAAAAACATATTTGTATAAATACACAAAAAATTCTAACAAAATCCATTTAGATCAAAAATTTAAAATTTCTAGAGCTTTTACTAGAATAAGAATCATTCATGTGCACTTACTCTACCTTAATTTAAAAAGCCAGCATCATACATAATACTAAAAAACACTAGCAATGACATTATTCATCATTTTCATTCATTTCATAAGAAAATGACACTTCAAGACACTATTTTATTTAAAATTTTCTAAAGATACTAACAAATAACAGGTAGTAAGTATATAAATATAAAAGTTGAAGGTAGAAAATAAAAATATGATGAAAGATCTCATTTAAAGTAGCAATAATATAAATTATCAAGTTAATAAGCAATATGTATTACCTATGTAGAGAAAATCTGTAAATGCTCTAAGAGGACTAAAAAAAAAATACTGAAAAACCTGAAATACAATGATGTTCCAGAGGAAGATTTAGTATTATTAAGAAGTTAATTCTCCCCTAAATTATCCTACCTTTTTGGAACCAGATAAGCTTATTTTGAAGTTTATGTAAATAAAGTAAACATACAAAATCCACCAGAAGTGTCTGAAAATGAATAGTAATTGGGCATTAAAAGAGAATCCAAACAACAGTCCTGACAAACTTTTAAAATACGTTACAAAGTTAGTTTAATTGAAAGAATGAGGAAGAGGCACATGAGCAGAAAACTGATTATAGAACAGAGTCCAAAAACATACCCAAATAAACATATAAGACATTTTTATATAATAAGGAAAACTAGCTGTACTCAATGAAATCAAGTAGACTTCCTATTTTACTCCTTACACCAAGTAACTTTCATGTGAATTTTCTTGAAAAGTCAATGTAAAATCTAAAAACAAAAAAAGGGAAAAAGAAAACTACTGAAGGACTAGGGGAAAATGCTTATCATTACAGACTGGTGAGTGCCTTTCAAACTATAGAAAAAAATTAACCAAACAACTCACTATTATTGCATGGCAAAATGCAGCACAAATGAAAATTCATTAAAATGCTTATAACTTATATGCTAATTTCTAGTATATAAAGTGCTCCCACAATTTGTTCAGAAAAACAATCAGTAGAATAGATAACTTACCAAAATGATAGGCAAATGACATAATAACTGAGAGAAATAGAAATAAATAGCACTTAAATGTGAAAACGGCACAATTTCAATTAAGAAAAATGAATTAAAACTGAAATGAGCTGCTGTATTATAAAAATATAACTGTTTGATATGTCACTGTGGCTTACATACTCATGGATTTTTTTTTTAAATAAGAAAATAAGAAAATCAGTAAATCAGTAAATCTACTATAGGTAGTACACACTATGGCAAAAGTGTAGAAAAAAGGCACTCAAAGATATATGGTGACTTTGTTCAGTAAGTTAAAAATATTAATGTTCAGAAAAACACATCTTTGGTGGATAAGCAAGTAAGATACAACCTTGTATGGAGGGCAATTTCATAACTATCTATCAAAAATTTAAATGCACATATCCTTTCACCCCGCAATGATGTTATCAAGAATATATCCTAAATCATATTCACATGTGTACAGATAAATATGCACCGAGTATTTTCGCTGCTGTACAGTAAGAGAATAAAAACAAAGTCTAACAATATAGTCGATTACATTTGGTGCATCCATATAATGAAATACCTATGTAATAATGAAGAAATAAAGCAGCTCTTGATATGAAATTATCTGAGGATAGACTAGTACTGTGTAAAAAGTCAAGGAAAAGAACACTGCACATCCATTATCATTTCTGTAAGGAAAAGATGTATTCTTGTAGATTCAGAAACTCTGTATGAAAATATAAACAACAAAAAAACCCACCTAAAAGTATGTGTAATCTCTGGGCAGGGAGAGAACTAAGGATAAGGATGAGAAGACAATTTACTTCTTACTTCACAACCTTTGGAGTTCTTATGTCATGAACATGT